AGGCGTAAAGCAGATGTCAAGAGCATTACTCATAACACACTTGATGATGGTAATACAACAAGGACTGGTTAAGATAAAAGTGGCACAAGTTTATAATTAACATAGATCCGTGTGTTAAGTGTGCATGAATGCGTGTAGGTAAGAACGAGTGTGGTTGTGTTGCTTGAATTTGTGAATCTGACGCCGTTTTTGTGATTGTCTTCGGTCACGCGTAAGAAGGAGAGAAATGAAATCCGTATTGGGTGACCCACGTCCGTGGATTGGGTTAGATCTACGGCACAAGTTGGTGCATTCCTACAAACTCGGCAACCAGGAGCTTCAAACGTCTCCTGGCGAGAAGGTTCTGGGAGTTTTGTCCAGGTTGACCTTTGATGTTCCAATCAGACTGAAACGGCGTCAAGGAGAGGCATCGAACACGTGTGCCTCCTGAAGCATGCATTCGGACGATTCGACCCTTCGATTTTTTCACAACTTCTCGGCTCATACATACGGCCACATGTGGAATACGCAATACAGGTCTAGCAGCCATGACTGAGGAGAGATCTCACCGCCTTGGAGATAGCCCAACGCCGGGTAACCGAAAACGTCAAGGCTCTGTATAATTTGCCGTATTAACAAAGACTTCTAGTGCTCGGGGTCTGCAGCAGACAATATGGGCGATTGCACCAGAACCCCGCTCGTGCCCCGTTCTCGTCTCGTAAAAGTGAAGTATGCTAGTGCAATGCACCTCATGGATTTATAAACCCTTGTGCTTTCACTGGAATGTGTCCATACGCTTTACTGGCGTTTTTCAAAACACCGTGAGGTTACGTTATGCAATACTAAAGGGTAACTATTTGATCGCTTAGGTGGGCTGACAACTGACGAGTTACGATAAACTGAACAGTCAAGAGCATGAGATTGGTTTGCAATGATAGTACTAACCTTGATATTTTCGTGAACCAGCGCCATAATATTCCTGGACCCCACTATTATCCGACGAACTTCTCAACTGTATTAACTACGAAAATTTTGGTTGTACCTTTTTTAAACAAAACGTTTTACTATACCAAAGCAGCTATGCTTGTATGTATATTTGATCGTGCCATCACTCGTGGGCTTCTTTCTATCGAGGATATACCATTTATTTATTTATTTATTTATAACTTCAGTAGCGTAGCCGTTGTACTGACTAATAATGTGAGTACTTTTTGCTATTGCATTGAAGAAATGCAAATTTTTGTACGGTCAGCATATGCAGAAACAACCGGGGGTAGATTGGCGCGCAAGGGATCTGGAAGTGTTCCGCTTTGGCTCACGAATAACGTGGACACCTTACATACACTGTGCCTAACACGTGCATCGCCACCGCTGAATCTCACAGTAGAGCATTATATTCAGACGTCACCGTGACATGCGCCTCATTTGTCCTAGCAGTTTTGTGCACAGTTTAATCGCGGTATGGCCTATATGCACATGTTCACAGTTGTTGCGAATACGTTTGTGGACGCAGTTAGTCATCTTACCTACGAGAAGTGTGTCTTTCAGATACACCAGTGTTGAACAGATCCCGAGTGTTATTCCTTGGTTAATGCCCTCTGAAAGGAAGACGAGGTTCCTTCTATCTATGAGCTTATTATCGTCCCAATCTATTCCGTCGTATAATTTCAATGTGGTTTTAGGATATTGTGAAACGAGTGTTTCACTAACGGTTTCGGGTGTCCACTGTTCAGCAGTTACATCACTACTTCCAAGCGGCGTTCCCAACTTCTCTATGCACAGGGCCTTATCTCTGTGAAACACGGCTAAGGCGCTCCTAACATACACATGCTGTGGATGACCGGAACTGTTATGCTGTGTCCCATCTGTCCGCCGCTTGACGAAATATCGGTTTGGAAGCTAACCATTCTTGTAAACAGAGTAGTCACTGAATGGCGATGTGTTACTCCATGGTGAGCGATTTCAGGTTCCTCACAAACTAGCTTTCCTTATCCACTCTTATCTACCATGTGTCATCCACTTGATACCAACTTTTGTCCATCTACTGGTTTGTCAGTACTATGTACAAAATAGTGGACATTGACGATCTAATGATAACACCATGTTCTTGAGCACCTACTTCCGACTGAAACCCGAGCTGAAAGAATATATGGCGCAATGTCTTACTCTCGGTTGTTTCAACCGCCTTAAGCTTCGGCCACTTCCCAGCTTACTGTCTGCAGTCAAACATCGTTTGACCATATCCAATGCGTCGCATTTTGGCACCTTCGTGAGGAGTGCACTGCCGTTAACATAGATCATCGTTTCATCTTCGTTTCACACGAACTCATGACGGTTCTTTACAAACGTATTCCTTCACCCTGTCAACGGCCACATTATACTAACGATTGCATACAGACCAGTAAATGCGAACTTTCGCCAACCCCGTAACCTTATCATAATTAACGCGGTACCCTTCCGCAAAGGTCACTGCAGTACATCATGCATTGCTGTGCAGATGCTGATGCTGACCTCATCATTAAGGCCGATTAACTGCAGTTAACAGGTAATGCGGCCACACCCACCGATATCTAACGCATTGTTCCATGATAGCGCGTAGTGAAACACCACAGACATTGATTATTTCATCTAACCACTATTACCCACACCCGGTAGCACGTAGACACCGCCAAGCATAGGTCACACTATGTGAGGCTGACGGGCATGCCTGCTAGCTTGCATGCAGTTAGCTTCAGTGAAGGCAATCGATGCTGAGTCTCATTGTGGAGCGCACGCCACGTCCGGTCGGCTGCGCGCAACAGTGAGCACTATGAACGCGGATGGAGAATCTCCGTCATCCCAGTTCTGTGTGGTGCGTCTTGAAGCCGCATAAGTGAGTGGGTGTAAAGTACTTCCTCAACCATCCATGGTGCTAGTCCACATTCTACGGTGATTGAGTTCACATGTTCTATTGACGTCCGCGCGTGCATCACTTGGTGTGTTGGATGAGTGCAAAGCCAAACGTGCGCGTGGACCTAACCGCTGCACCAACCGATGCATGTGTTCTGAATACTCTTGCACTGATTTGCAATTGGTCAGGACGATGGGCACGCATTTGTGCGTTGCGCCACATTGGATTCCACATGATGTGCTTATGGCCTGCCTTGAATATTCTTGGTAGGACATGATTTGCTTTAGAAGGGTCTTGATTCCGTTATGGATTCGACTCGGTATCGGTAGTCTCTTGTTCGATAGCCGAATAGTTGAAAGAGGAAAAGTGGAAGAAGGGGTATTATCGACGTGATCGAGGGGCAAATAATTCCGGCTGCGCATTCTGGGAGAGGGGTTTTGTTCGGTGTGCAATACCATTTGTCTTTGACTCAACAGTCTGACCCACAAGGCACTGGGGGACATGGAAGTCCGCTTGATTTATTCCACTCGGTGCCATTAGCTCAATAGCGTGACCAACTAGGCACTGGGGAGTAAGTCCAACTGCTGTGATTGCAGAGAAGTGAACACGTGTACGTTTGGATGTTGTCATCTCGTGTGCATGTTTCTGAGACAAAAAGGCAATCTCAAGCTTAACATCCGTCGGACCGGTTCGCTTACCAGAATGGGAACCACGTGACTCTGACTTCCAGTGGTCAGAAACGCTGAAGATTTTGGTGCGCGATAGACATCAGTGGCGACTGCGTTATTCATTTGCATCATTTGCTAGTTGATATCTAATCGCACATAAGAACTCCAAAACACAATCCCAACTCAAAATGGAGTGTGTAAAATCCAAAAATCCTTTCTTCTGCTATTGTATTTCGTTTCCTCTTTTCTGCCATGGTTCCAAAGGCACATTGTCTGTACTCAGACTGTCTTAGTAAGCCACCAGCATAGCCATACGGGGGTACCATCTAAGAGAAGGCGAGTATGCTAAATGTATAGTCATCATCAGCGCAGCACTTGGTAAGTTCGCTACTTCCGATTCAATTTACTAACCCAGGCCATTAAGGCGGTTGATGTGATACTTGTGTCTGTACGTGTGCCTGCGTGTTGAGATTCTTGCATTTTAGGGGTTGGTTTTTGATTGAAATCCCCAGTGTGATTACGTTTGATGTGAATGTTGACAAGGTGCCTGCCTGTCTATTACCCACCACCTCCTCCATACTGGCTCCTGGAGGCAGTTGGTCATTCCTGGAAGGGACGAGGTGCTCAGTCGTCGTTGCGATGCGAAGTTGAAAGAGTGGCTCCATGCATCCAGTGTGGAGCGGTCTACGGCCCAGCCACCGCCTTGTGTACTTCTGGTACGCATGATTCCCCAATTGGACTGATTGGGACGTTGACGCTGTACATCTTGAAGGAGTGTGAGCCGGCTCCGTTGATGAAACGTGGCTCCCATCCACATGCCTCCCGGTCTTTTTCTTTGGGAACTACACATGACATGGGTAATGTGGATGGAGCTGTAGATGGCGCAGCACAAGCCATCCATGGTCCTTCCTTAGACACAGGCATCCTATGGCTGTCCCAGTGGAGGCCGCAGTGACAGGAAGATCCAAAGTCGGATACCGCGAACCATGTTTCTGAGACAGGACATCAACTTCGAGGGACACAAAGCCATAGCTGTTGGCCGTCTTAGAGATGTGTGGATGTTAAATGGCGAAATATAAAATGAGTTGAAGAGATTCTCTGTTTCCGTTGTTAGTGCGATCGACGAAATGAGATTCAATCTTTCCTGATTAACATGAGAAGAAGACACTGATTTCTTATCAGGCCAACTGGGAGTTCCCGGTTAAATTATCGTGCAAACAAAGACCTGTTAAGACGTTTGCGGCTTAGAAATATCACCTGCTTTTCCCGCATATAGGGCTTTTACTCCTGTCTCGAGACTTTTTGTTTCGAGATCTTGGTGTATCAAATTGATCGGATGACAGCAAGGCTCTGTCCTGACGTGTGCCTCATTTTAATATTCTCCCTTAAAATGTACCATTTATGTTTATGCTTTTGTTCATACCCACTTCATCTCTTTCCCCGCAGAGTATTCTGAGATTATAATGGGTGTTCCCGGACTTTGGAACTTATTAGAGCCAGCTCGTCGACCGCTCGACCTCGAACAGTTATCCGGCAAGATAGTTGCTATCGGTAAGTTTAAAGAATTATGTTAAAAACTGTTCCCATGTCTACGTTTCACAATGCTAAACTTTTGGGAAGCACGAGTTATAATATTGTGTGGGCATGAATTGAGGACTCGTTTACGCGTCCTTCCCTCCTTCATTACTTATAATTTCGCGATGATGATTTATGTGTATGTATGATGTACTGATTTCCCTTCTGCTTTGGATTGCACGGTGTGCATTCTATATACAGCATAGTCAGAACCACCACTATCCGTGGATGCGACATATGGTGAAAAATACCTGCCGCACACATGTACTTAGTTTCTTTATAGCTACTCAGTTACACGGTTGGCTTCCGAAGCGCAAACCTGGTGTTAAGCAATCCACGCGATCGCTGTTGATCAATGTCTGATAACAATTGGCCTCTGCATTGTCTTACTTGTATTTGGTGCTTTCGTCTTCTCGGACCGGTCACATCAGTGGCGTTGTAAACGCTCCATAATTTCTGACTCTTAACTGTTCCCTCTAACAATTTTACTTCTTATCCCCTTTGAATTATGGTTGTCACTATTTTGGCAGCGTGAGCGAAGGCAACTAAATCCACCGCACTTCGGTGCACAGCTCATAGTTAGCAAAGCTGGAAGTGCTTTTGCGTCGCCCAATCGTTACATCAGACAGTCATGGAATGCCCAGACGACCAATGACTAGGAATTATAAAAGCGCACGCGCACGATTGCCCGGTTCACACTTCTTTACGCATCGCTCAGCGACGCTACACACTAACGCACTGATTATGTCACTGACTGGTGACGAAACGTTTGGAGCAAAAGTGCCAAACTCAGCGAACAGTTCGTCTAACAAATGAACAACCTTAGCTAACTGCATTCACTCTTTGATTCTGTTTCACTTTTCCAGACATGAATATTTGGTTGCATCAGGCTGTGAAGTCCCGCGCATCCACCGGTGGACCTTCAAGATATTTGTCAGTTTTATTTCGTCGTTTGTGCAAACTCATTTACTTTGGCATCCGGCCAGTGTTCGTGTTCGACGGCGAAGTTCCTACTTTGAAAAAGTCCACTATAGTAAGCCGAGATCTATTCCCTATCTGCCTTATACTTCACTGCTGTCTTTTTTATCATCCCGAATGTGTGGTTTTATTGACATCGTCAATCCTTACTGGCCTTATAGTGGCCGAACATCTACCATCTCCCTCGGTGATCAAAACTCAGTTGCTTGTAGATTATACAATTAATGGCCGCATCCAGATACTTTTGCTTTCAGCATATGACTTTGCATGCAAACATATAAGTATTTTCTTTTTTCATAAGAAAGTGATGGAAATAAAGGTAACTGTAACCCAAGACGGCATGGAACATACCCTTTCATCAATCTCCACTGCCGTGATAGAAAATATTCTATTTCGCCACAGTAACAGCGCTTCCTGGTCGCGACCAAACCCACCACTGTCTATTCTTATGACTGGATCAGTCGCTCCAAACGAACAACTTTCGTTGTCTATTATATAGTGTCATAATAACCGTGCTGTGTAATATATTTCCTTGCCGTTCGTTTGCATTTTTAAACGCTGCATTCCGAGTCACACGATTTCACCCGTTCAACACTACTTTGTTCTCCTTCATGTTGAATATTCAACACTTTTTGGTCTGAGTCGCAAGTCTGTATTGTTTTGGGAGCTCTACTACTGGTACGGTTTAGTTCAGCTCAGCTAATCACTCTTGCTCCAAACATCTAAGTGCGGTGAATCCAATTACTATGATTAGGGCTGTAGGAGTAACAACAAATAACAGGAATGGACAAACAATGCCGAAAAAAGTGAGTAAACCTACACACGAAAATACAACCTAACGGACCAGGGGAAGCTATTCGTCTAACAGATGCTATCAATGAACCGAAAACCGTTTTTGCAATCTAGCTATTTGTGTGGGATATCTAACCACTAGTGTGGTGGATCTCCTGTTCCCGATTTAGCTATAACCCGATCTAGTCGCCCAAATTATCTCTGAAGTACCACATTTAATAGGTACAACCTGTCACCAGCTCTAGTTTATTCGTTGTGGCATCGCATTTTCCGCCATTTAACATGTCTGTCATTTCTCGTTGCACAGGCCGCCCGACGCCAACTTCGCACGCAGCTGGGAGAAAAGGCTGAGCGAGCCGAACAGCGCATGCTACGGCGACTGTTGAGGCGCGTCGCAGAATCAGCCGCTGAAGTACATACGCCAAATAGTAGTGCCAACTCACATGGTGAAGCCCACTCCAAAGGCCCGGAACAAGGTAGATACATTCCGCTCACACAGTGTTATCGAGTTAACTTGTTATTGTACCTTGTCCGTACTGACCATTTTGCCCCAAAGTCTAGGACTTATTACACAAACAACCGCAGTTTAATCTGCTCCAACTTCATGATTCAAGCCCCGACGTGCGGTCAATTGTACTCCCTCCATCTTTGAAGTAGTGAGACACGGGTGTAGTGAATACCTATTACTGGAAATAGAAAGCTTTATATATATATATATATATATATATATATATATATATATATATCACATCGTATTGGGTGCGCAATAGGCAGAGTGGCGAAGGACATGAACTGGCTGGAGTAGCTTGTTCTGGTTTGACATACTGTTCAGTGATGCACCATGGAGTTCATAGTCAAACATCGATTAGCAGGCATCAGCATTGATGTCCCCATTCGTTTCGAGCAATACTGTGAGGCGTCGGCGAAGTCGGTTAATTTCACATTTCGAAAGCTGAGCTGCATTAGAATTCAATATGCATGCCCCTTTGGATCGTAGAGTATTATAACAATTTCACGATGTCCAACTCTTTTTCCGCCCAATTTTCTTGTTGTACCATTTTTTCGGTGAGACATTGTTTATGTCCTTTTGCTTAACTGCTGTGCTATGGCATACTTCTACTTATCATGTCTTACACTTGTTTTCGATTACAGCAAAAGTGGCCCTATTGCAACGTCTCGCCGGTCGGCCAGATGTGCAAAGAGCGAAAGAAGACGCGCAATTGTTTGACGCTCCACCGGGCAAGCTGGAGTTAGTTTCTTCCGACTTTAAGAGTTGCCCACATGCCCTGTCTCAGGTGTATCCTGTTAAAGTTTGCTGTCTTTACTCGCTCCTTCCTATCACAAACTTAAATACCTATCTGCGCATGGTTCGGGCTTAGTATACGACCAATCGCTAAGACCGGTGTTAAGGTCGACTTGGGCTGCATCCAAATGAGTGGGATGGATACGAGTTTGACGTACCTCCCCCGAGTGTTATGTGTAGACACGATGTGTAGCTATACATTCAGACAACCATCACACGTTAAAGAAAATGATAAACAGCCATTTTGTCCCATCGGAACATCAGTAGCGCGGATCCAAACTCTTACAAGTCAGTGACTGATACCACTGGACCATGAATGATGGTAGCGGACCGCTATGATTTATGATCACAATATAGCACGCGGTTCATCCTGCACTATCATGCATGTTATGAACTTGCAGTGGACAGAGCTACGACTACCCTGGCATGCCACAACTAATCAAAGCGGCATGTAAGGGGCTAAGGCGATTGCACTTGGGGATTTACTGCGGTTTGAGTGGATTAGTCGCAGATAGATGAGCTCTGCCGCCGAGTTCCAGCAGGACGAAACGACCATCTAGCGTTTTTCAGGAAGTATTTGCTGTAACGAGTTTTCTCACAAACACAGCAAATCTCCCTACTACTCTGACGAAATAGAGCGTCTACATATAGGCTATCACTTGCACGCTGCATAGGAAATAACTTTCAATGTGGACAAATGTGTTTGATTTGGTTGTTGTCTCCTAATAAAGCATAATACTATCACGTAGCCTAAACGTAACAAGCTTGCCCTGTAATCTGACGGCGCGGGTTCGAGCCTGCGTAGGGGCACGGCGACCGTCGCAGTATCCTTAACCCACGTGCGATCGACAGCGAAGCGTCGGTAATGCGTACCGGCGTACTGCCGGTGCATTTTTTTCGTCAGATAATGGCCATCTATTTACCACAAATGTAAACCGTCCAAAGATATCGCGCTTGTATATACCGACAGCCAGAGCACGCGCCGAGCACACACATTTTTATATTATCGATTAACTGTGCTCTCTCCATTTTCCTTCTGTAAACTTTTGGTGCGCCGGTTTCAAGTACAATACCATGTTCATACAAAGCCTGATCAATGAACGTGCTGTCCTCACCCTACTGGTTCCCGATTCTTTTTAAATGCACTTGGTTGTGTATAGTTCGCTACTCTCTACTATATATGTGCCCGCCGTTGTATTCACAATCAAGGTCTACGGCTTAGCATTACGTCAGAAGTGCAGGTGCCTAGTCTGCAACAATAGATTATAAAGATTTTGTATGGTGAATCACCCCACCAGCTAGTTTTCATCAAACAGATGATGTACAACGGGTCTGCATATGCCTCTCTTGAAGTGTTCGACTTCCGATCCGTCTATTTCACGTGATAGATTATACAGTCGTAATGTCTACATGTTTGAGTACCGAGTCAGGGACGGTCTATCCTCGTTTAGGTCGAAGAACAACGACAGTGCGCTACTACATGAAAGTGCTGGTCTGGAGTTCGATGATCTTGCTCGGGATTATTTAGTGAGTTCACAGCATCTTTCATCATAGTCTGTCCTCTGTGTGTGAATTCACACGTATTTTTCAAGAATTTAGTTTATTCAGATGGATTTGGAATGATTTATCCTTCTACATCCAGTCGCCCAACCGACTATCTTGCTCTTTCCTTTTTATTCGGTTTTGCACCATGCTGATATGTGCATTGCTTCGATTCTCGCGCTCATTCATTTTTTTTATAACACTGTATGTGCTACGACCTGTAGGTTAATACAGAGAGACTAGTGACACTAAGACCACACATACACACACTATACACGTTAACTAGAGCTGGGAAACACCCCAGCTACTGTGCCGCAATACCCAGAAGAATAAAGCGAATAAAAAGCAACAGATGAAAGCCAGCTGAGCTACCAGTAACAAATGGGCATCGTTCCGGTAAGCTACCGGTCGGATGCTATGCAGCGGAAAAAAGATAATTTACTATGCATAATTATAAAATGCTAGATGGTGATATCGTGGTTGGAGTGGAGGCTAAGCAGGTTGGGGTGGGACAAAGAAACTCACAGCATTAAAGCCAGTGAGGTCGGCTCCTAGCCATATCAACAACTGTATCCAGCCAAACGCGTCCGTCTTTCGGACCCCAACCAGGTAGCCGAGACGCTCCAACTGAGGCCAGCTTCGAAGTGAGGGCCTTCATTCCTCTGAACCAAGTCATCGCTTGGCCGCCCCTCTTCTTCCATACACATCCCCGGTGAGCAAACAACGCACGTCGTGGAAGTCGGTGGGCTGGCATGCGCAACACGTTGCCCAGCCATCGGAGCCTGGTGCGTGAAATGACGGTGCTGACCGGTTCAGTTCCTTCTTCTGTGCCGTAAACAAGGCGTCGAACATGCTCGTTGCTCACGCGGTGTTCCCACCAGATGTGAGCCAAATTGCGAAGGCACCGATGGTCAAACGTAACTAGCCTCTTCATGTCTGCTGATCTTAGGGCCACGTTTCGCAACCGTACAGCAGGATCGATCGTACCGCTGCATTCTACACTCTTCCCTTCAGGATGAGTGATGTCGCGCCGGCGCCATAAGTGGCGAAGGTTAGCAGAAACACTTCGAGCTTTTGCTATACGGTTCGTGATCTCATCTTCAATCCCACGGGCGCTGATAAAACTTCCCAGATAGTTGCATTTTTGCAAGACTTCTAGCTGATCCCCACCAAAGGCCAATCTTAGAGGAACGCTTTGCATTTCGATGGTGCAAAGCAAAGCCCGAAGCGGTTGACAGCCTGTGCTAATCTGTCCAGTGCCGCTTGTCAAGTCTGGGAGCTGTCACAGATTAGGGCAATATCATCAGCATACTCAAAGTCAAGAAGTCGTTTTCCTGGGAGTAGCTCCACACCTAAATCGTGTCCTGTGAACGCGATTTCCATGACTTCGTCAATAGCAAAGTTGAAGAGGAAAGGTGACAGCGGGCATCCTTGTCTCACACCGCTGGAGATATTAAAGGTCGACGACAGCTTGGTTACCAAGGGCAGCGGCCGTTTCCATCTCTGATGCACAATGAGACCACCAGGATTCACGGTCTCTTCAGGCTAGCACAGAATTTTGCCCGGAGCTCTTTGCGAGTTTCATTGTGTTCGCTTCCAGCCGGAATATGCCGGCGAGCATCGATACGTCCCAGACTGCAAAGAGACCCATTGTCCATGTTGTCGATTACACATACCACATGAGGATTTTCCTGCTGCTAGTAAGGACTGGCGGATATGAGATCAGTGTGCTTCAAATGCATCCAGTCAGCGCTTACTCAACTCGCATGACAGCGTACTTTGATAGGTATTCAGAACAGCTGGCTTTGTCAGTTGGCTGGTGTCAATGCGCTCACAGCGTCATTGTGGGCGTCCGCCAAAACGCATCTGCAGGTCAGCACATACAAGTGCATGGTCAGTGCCCACACCTGTGCTCTAAATCGAGCGACAGTTCTGGCCGCAACCTCTCCATCGGTAACTTATCGCAATGTGATCGATTTGCGTCCATAGCTGATTCGAAGCTATTGGGCGCCAAGTCACTCTCCGGCGGGTGCTGTGTCAGAAATTAATGCTCGCAAGAAATAAGCGAGCATCCTCACACAAATGAAGTAACCGCTCATCGTTATCATTACGAGAGCCTACACCATGTTGGCCGCCCAGATGCAGCTCATCTGTGGATAATTTTCCAACTTGAGCGTTCAGATCCCCAGCCAGCACTACAGCGTCCGAGCTTCTTCTGTGGCGAACGAGTTCGTTCAGTTGGCGATAGGAGTCGTCTTTTACCGAATCATCGCTAGAGTTTGTGGGTGCATAGGCAGCCATATCCAATAGGCACCTGTTAGTCCCACGCGACTTCGAAGTTTTGAACGAGCCAGCCAATCGGACCACACATAACCGGCTACCGATTGGAATCCAATCAACCAGAGTAGCTTCAGCCCGGGGTCCTCAGGGCAATACCAACACCGGCTTGGCCGGTGCTCGAGGCTGCATCGTCACCGGATAGGCGCAATGAGAAAGTGCTGCTGGTGTCACCTGAAGGGGATCACAAAGTGAGCGCAGAGCTGGAGTCTTGCAGCCGGGTCTCCGATAAGCAGCAGATATTGGTCGAGAGGGTCTCGAATGTTCGGGAAAGTGCTGCCTGTTGACCGATCTGTAGTAATGTGCGTACATTGAGGCATGCTAATCTGTAGAATGATCGAGGGCTCCAAATGGAAGCCGATGAACTGGGCTTGACAGCTTGCTTGGACATGGGCCTGTTGACAGGGCAGGAATGACGCTCCGCGTTCACATGTGAGTTGAGTAGAAGGTAAAAGCCTAGCAAAGCAAGGTGGGGAAGGGCCAAGAATCGGGGGGGGGTTGAAAACTGGGGAGATATAAGTGAAGTTGGAACGGGACGGTAAGAGTGGAGAAGCGTAAGAGGGGGAATAAGAAGATGGGAAGGCTTGAGCAGTATCATCCAAACCCCTATCCACCCTGCTCGATGCAGCAGATAGGGCACCGTTGACTATCCTCTGCAGTGGCTAGAGCATCACTAGTGTTTGATGTAAGATTCATAGTATTGCGTGGGCAGGATACTGTCAGGTTGCCCAGGCCTAGACAGGAGAACGATTAGAGTTCTCAGCCAAAGCCTTTGGTTCATAAATCTGACCGCAAGGCAGCCGGTTTAGCATTGGGCTACAAGGGGTCCGTTTTAAGCGATAAGGGGCCACTTCATTCCAACCCCCAACCTGGAGGACCAGGAGGCTGAGTTTGTCTGGCCTCTAACCATTGATCAATCTGGTATGAGTGGCTGTGAAGGTACAAAATAGCACTACCCAGCATAGCTCAATGGATCACTGAGGCACTAAAACCGTCGCACCACGGTAAGGTCCAGCCTTATTGCGATGGGAGCAGTCATTTTCAAAGCTCTCCAGGAGCGATAAGTTAAAAATGCACTAAAATGATCTCATCACTTAGTATGCGAAGCTCCTACAGTTTGTGGTAACCACCGGCTACCGGGGACAGTAGCATGTGTCGTTCTTGTGCTTCGTTCCTGATTTCACAGTTAGATCTACAGTCCTAACGCACTCACTATCATCCTTGCGAAACCTATTTTCGAGCACCAAAATTTATTCGAGCTTATTGCTCGTGATCTGTGCCCCGCTCTATTAATATCTTTTCACTCGTAGCGTTTTCACTGGAAATCTAACAATAGTCATACCTTTTTTTGCTTCATGTCCGCGGATCTGTTTGAAGTTCGTTGAATCTTCTCCAACATATCTCGCTTCTTGAAAGTAGGATACACAATATTTCTCTCATTTTTTAACATTTCACTTTTATCGACCATTACTGCGGATTGAAACACTTTCACTTACTCTTGTGGGTACTCCGGACCTCCGTTGATATTATTCCATTGCGGCTGGACTTAGATGATTTGATCCAGGCTGGTGCCAATTTCGAATTGCGCCGTATTCCTTTTTCGTGCACGTTATTGTGATAAGGTCATCAAGCCGCAATAGTTTTGTGTGCGAATCGCATCTGATGGCGAATTCATCTCTAAAGTGGGTGCTTGGAACTAATTTCACTTGTTTATCACATTCACTGGCGTACAACGCCACCGTTTGTGGATTGAAATCATCTCGCGGCACAGTGAAGATACAGATATCCGTTTTCAATGCAGTCTCTTCTCCGACAGTGTTTCGACTAGTAATCTGGAAAATAGTTGCTCTCACGCCATACGGTTCCCATTTTCACTCATATTATCAGATCTACTCTGTCCTTAAATTGTATCCTTTCTTTATTTCAACAGGACAGTGTGAATCTGTATGCGCCCAGTGATGGACAAAATGAACCCCTTGATCTACACTCACCTTCTTTTTGCGCCCTACCCGTCTTGGCCCAACTCAGAGTGATCCAGTTAGCTCGGGAACAGCTGGAGTCCGGATTCCGTAAAAATTGTCAGCAACAGTTAGAACTTGAGGTGAGCACCGGAGTACTCTTTTTCGGCCAATTCCACAAGCCCAGTTCATTCGTATTACACGAATTCGGTTACCATCGATGGATAATAAGGGATATGCCACCGTTTATCGTTGTAACATGTAGGACCAATATTACACGAACGGATCGTTCCATTTCTTGATTGCCATCTAGCTGTTGATCATAAGTGTCAGATGGCTCTTGGTACATAGATCTTGTTTGTGACCCTGCGATATTTTTGTACTAGCTTAGCACCTTGGTCACTGTCGGACTGTCCTTGCGATCAACATTTCGTGCATGTTAGGAATCAAATCTACCCACCTAACTGAGTCGTCTCTGTGCGTCCACCACAATTACTATTTTTCCTTGGTTACACGTGGTCGTTTGTGAAGTTCTGTTTGAACCTTGCTCGCATGTTTCCCCAAATGTCTCTTGATCGTAGTGATTCTTCTACATCCAAACAGAGAGACAATGAGGTATTTTCCGCCAACCAAGTGCATCGGCTGCTCCTTCGACGCCGTTTGGCTGAGCGGCATGAGGAACTTTCAGTTCAGATCGCCAAAGCAGAAGCGGCACATCAACTCGCGCAGTTGAATAACCCTCATTTATTGGACGCTCTCCGCCCTTGTTTGAAAACCAAGAAGAAAGATTCTGAGACAGTAACGAGCGCGCTCAGAATCCAATCACGTGATACAGGCCACGCCATCTTAATCAAGAAACCATCACCGCAAAACCGGTTCGCTCTGAATCGGCTTATTGAAAGAGAGTAAGCCTGTTGGCACGACGGCCAGCTTTGTATTTTTTAACTGACTATTGGTCCCGCTTGACAACGTTTTCTTTTACTTTAATAATCTTGCAGCACTGTCTTTATGTTAACGGCGCGCATGGCGCTGCATATTTGGAGTGTGCTCTATCAATGCTGATACTTGGTTGCACAGTCCTCCATTCTTTACGTGCATATTAACCTCTACTTAGTAAGAGTCGGGTTGCACTGTGTCCTATCATCCGCACGAATTCTGCTGGGGCTGAACAACCGCCTACTGCTACTCGAGCATCTGATGATCATCCAGTCGAGTCTAGGCTTGCCAAAATCAGTTCTAACCTTGTACATTCTTGAACTTTTGCCTTAGTATGTGGCCGTATTAGGTTTATTCTGCGCTTACGGATGGCGTGTCTCATCCTCAAATCAGCCAGAAGAGTCCGTTGGCATTAGTCAACACAGCTTTCCTCCAAGATTTACAGAAACTATCCTCTACACTGACCCTCGGTGGGAATCAAATAGAAGTTGTCCAGTAGTTCAACTACCTTGACAACTAAATCAGCGCAGATAGAATAGGTGAGACCACGAACCTGATAGCAAAAGTTCGAGGCGGTTTCGGCAATTCTCATCACCGGTAGTGCCTCAGCGACATAATTGTCGCTCTGAAAAATAAAGTCTCGTGCTGCTTAACAAATCTAAGCACGGATTCCTTGATAAACATCCTTGTACAACCTGTCGGTCGCACTACCAGGATGACATCACAGAATCCATTTATTCTAGTCATACACTTACGATTTTATCCCGGGTGCATCCGGATCAGAAATCCCCTTGTCATCGCATCGCAACGCGCTGCTCCGAGCCGATTAGAATCCGGGACCACTGTCTTCCGGCTACACCTGCCTACCAACCTCCAAGGTACCAGCCTACTTACCAGTTTCCAGCCTCCACAATCTCAAATAAAGGTAAAAATAAATAACAGGAAACCTGCTGAAACGGCCTCCCGTCCTACACAACCTCTCACAATTTACCACTTTCCTATAACTCTATTTTAGTGGAGGCAGGCGTGGTTCCACAACCATTCTCACAGCTGACATACAAATCAGATGTAGCTTATCTTGTTCCACTCCACTTATTATTCATTATACACTTTTGTTGAATTTTCGAACGACTTCCAGCTGGTCCCAACCAAGGGTCAGCGCAGGAGGCAGTCCCTGCCAATCTTGGAGGAAAACTTTGCACTTTGAAGGCGCAAAGCATAGCCCGAAACGGCTAATCTGTCCAGTTCCACTTGGCACGTTCCAGTCCTCCTGCAGCTCATCCATATGACCGGATAGCTCAATATCATATAAATCCCAATTTGGCCTTGTGACAGTGCTTTCCGCCGAACCGGACCTAGCAGCGCACACAAGCGATACAATGCCCGGCCATGCCATTAGCAGACTCGTTTCCACTACCCTTTCTCTAACTTATGTTGCTGTCATTTTTGATTTCCATTTACATGAGGTGCTCACGGAAAACAACACACCTCACGTACCTTAATCTATGTAATATTCACAGAAAACAATTTGCATTTTCTAAACATGTTTGCTCAGTTACACACCTCACGTGTAATCTTTGTCACTGAAACGTGGTGTTCTTCGGGTCCGTTGCATTCTACTTTAGATATTCCTGACTACCACCATTTTTGAAAAAAAGATCGTAGCACGAAGTGAGGAGGCGAATGTATCGTATATCTGCGTCGCAAATTTACAGTTGAGCTTCCTGATCGCTCATAGCTAATCAATGGCTATCAGTCGCTGGAGACTTCTACGACATATACATCCCGCGAAAGCGACAGCTACAACTTCAACTATTATCTCATCAGCCTTTGATTTCGCATCGGTGTTACTACACATACCAAATATAATTGCTGATGAAATCAATTTACCCATCACCACAACGAATCTCATCGTCTCATACAGATTTCTTATCAACTATCAGCTGCTGACTGGAGTCCGTGAGTCAGCAGGCCAAATAGGTCGGCCAACGTGACAGACTTAATATTCAATTAGACCAAACTCGTCTTTATTATTACAATTACACCAATCGATAGACTGCGTCAAACGTTCACAAGTGATTTTGGGTTAAAAAGGAAGAGGAGAACGTCTTACAAATATCGTGCGAAGGAAAGGAACCAGTCAACTTACGTCGTCGTCTGGGTAACGATGGAGCTTCCTAGAATATAGGACTGATCGATGAGGAGAGTCGTCCCGTTAATGGTCCATCACCTGTCTACTACTTGCTGCCGTGGAAGCGGTATGCATAAGATTAACGAACCCGAACCTGTGCATCCAAAAAACACGTCCAGACGCTACAGCTCCAATGTTCATCATCCAAGCGCGAAGAGTCTGACCCGACCTAGCAACCCCACGTGCCTTTCATCACATGATCGCCAGACGCATATCAATAATTTCAACAAAGCAAGACTAACCAGCATTTCGCGAGATAGACTGCATTCATTTTATTTCGTGTATTCCCAATCAGTCGTTTATAGACGTACAGTGGGAGGATTTAGTGAGTGCATGGGACATGGAATCAATAAGGCAACTAATTAGAACCTGGGATGATTGGGGTCATCGCTTCCAGTGGCTGATCCTATACCTTACCATGGCAAGACTAAGCTGGACACGAGGTCAACTTACTTCCATAGGTTGGGCTTCAGCTGCCTCGGCAAACCGGAGCAGTGCTGGACTGTTATGCCTTCTGACGAATTTGAACGAGTTCCGGGGTTATTGATACACATTACAATCGAATAGGTGTCGAGCAATAGAGCTGGCAAATAGTTTAGGGCCGCACATCGCTAGGCCTCGCGGAACATGCTCCATAATCCTCTCAGTCCGACCAATGTACATGCTACTGCACGTACAGTTAAATTGGTAAACGTAGGCGGCGGTGGCTTAAAGGAAAGGTTGATCTAGGTTGAATTGGTGCAGCAATTTTTCGGTTTGATGCAGTAACACTAGCTCAGCAGAGTAATAACACCTCTTATGGATTGTCGTAGTCGGTGACAGAACCTCTTATCAGTTTGTTCCCCTTTGTTTGGTAGGGTGACGAATACTTTTTTTCTTTGGAACATCAAATTCGATTCTAATGTTGTTGATCAGTTGTGTCATCCTTTGTACCCAAAAGTGGTTTTCACCATTTTTACCGTTTATTTCTGTACCGAGCCTGATGATGAATAGATCGAAAACAGTTGTTTTCTCTAAAATCCCCGCTTGCCTTTCTCTTTGGGATTAACAATATCTCTGAATTTCCTCCTTCCTTCCATGAGCCTAGATACTGACGCTATCACTTCCTGCCCGGAACTTACAACAACACACATCCTGTACAATGACGAGATATCTTTCGGACATACAACAAGCTATGGTCTATCAAACCACCGTTAAAGCCTGATTCGGATGGCATCTGCCATTTAATTGGAGAGTCCTCATCATTACACACTAGCTGAAGATGAGAACCACTTCAGCTTGTGTGGTGCCATCCAAAAAAAGATAAGATATATGGAGAAGCGAGATACCAAACACAATACAAAAAACGACAGGTAACATATTGCTTGGTGACATATTATGCTTCAAAACAGAGATTGCGACTGGAGAAGAGATAAGGGACAAAAATACAATACAAACGCTATTGAGGCGGTTCTTTGCCATCTCATCAAAAGTATCCAGCTAAAAGTGTTCATCACCCTTGGGATCCCAACCAGGCAGTCGGGATGCACTAACCAAAGCCAACTTCGAAGTGAGGGTTTTCATTCCTTCACCAAATCATCGTTTGGCCTCCCCTTCTCTTTCATCTAGACCCCGGTCGTGCAAACAACGCACGACGCGCGAATCGGTTTGCTGGCATGCGCAATAAGTGGCCTAGTCATCGGAGCCTGGTGCTTGAAGTAAAGGCGCTGCGCGGCTCACTCGTTCTTCCTGCACCAAACACACGACGCTCATGTGACTTTCACTGCAGACATGAGCCAAGCTGTGAAGGTAACGATGATCGAACGTTACTAGCCTCTATGTCTCTCAAACTTATCGGCCAGGTTTCGCACTCGTACGGAAGGGTTGGACAGACGGTTTCATCGTAAACTCTGCCATCCAGAGCGAGAGTGATGTCGCGCTGTCGCTGCAGGTGATGGATACTGGCAAAAGCACCTCGAGCTTTTGTTATACGGTTCGTAGTCTTATCTTCGATCCCACGTGCGCTAATATAGCTGCTTATATACTCGAATTTCTTGACAACTTCTAGGTGATCATCGCCACGAATCACTGCAGAGGCGGGTCCCTACCAATTTTAGTGAAGAACTTCGAATTTCGACGGTGCAAAGCATAGCCCGAAATGACTGATGTTTGAGAGCTGTTACAGATGAGAGCAATGTCGTCGGCATACTGTAAGTCGCTCGTCAATAAGCAGCTCCATGCTTTGTAGGTCGTGTCCAGCGAACGCCGTTTCCATGACTTCATCTATGGTGAAGTTAAAGAAGAAGAGTGACAGCGGGCATCCTTTTCTAACACTGCTGGAAATTTTGAAGGGCGGCGACAGCTTGCTGTAAGCCCTCACTCGGCGGTCAAAGTGATCTGATAATGTTTACATCTTTGTCGGGCACACGTTTCCTGAGTTGACAGTTTCAAAGGGAACATTAATCAACCGAGTCGAAGGCACCGATAAATATCGCGGTGCCCTAAAAATTAACGTAATGTAGAAATGTGATCAATCCAGCCGCGAATTCGACGAAACCCGGCTTACTTCTCATGAATGTTGCTTTCACGGGTGCAAGTAAGTCTGTGAAGAACGATGGAGGAGTTTCGCATGGGCAATTGAGATCAGACTGATTCCTCTGTGACTACGACATTCGGAACGTGATCCCCCTCTGAAAATCGGGACGGAGTGGCCCAGTCTGTTGGGACGGTTTCCTACTTCCATAGCTTCGTAAGTTGTGCAGATCATCTGCAAGAGCAGATCCTCCGAATTTGAAGAGG